CTATGTCAAAAAATTCTACACACCAGCAGTGTGTGAGGAGACCTGAAAGTGGCACATGGCAGAGTGTGGCGATGGAGACAGCAGCAATGGGAGGCCGTACAGGGACCCATGAGAGACTCTGGACCTGGCAGCAGCATGAGGAGGAGGCGGTATAGGGGCCTATGGCAGATTAGGGGCCTGGCAGCAGCTATAGGAGGCCCATAATCTGCCAGCACCCTATGTCAAAAAATTCAACACACCAGCAGTGTGAGGAGACCTGAAAGTGGCACATGGCAGAGTGTGGCGATGGAGACAGCAGCAATGGGAGGCCGTACAGGGACCCATGAGAGACTCTGGACCTGGCAGCAGCATGAGGAGGCGGTATATAGGGGCCCATGGCAGATTAGGGGCCTGGCAGCAGCTATGGGAGGCCCGTAATCTGCCAGCACCCTATGTCAAAAAAAAATACACACACCAGCAGTGTGTGTGGAGGAGACCTGAAAGTGGCACATGGCAGAGTGTGGCGATGGAGACAGCAGCAATGGGAGGCCGTACAGGGACCCATGACAGACTCTGGACCTGGCAGCAGCATGAGGAGGCGGTATATAGGGGCCTATGGCAGATTAGGGGCCTGGCAGCAGCTATGGGAGGCCCGTAATCTGCCAGCACCCTATGTCAAAAAAATTCTACACACCAGCAGTGTGTGAGGAGACCTGAAAGTGGCACATGGCAGAGTGTGGCGATGGAGACAGCAGCAATGGGAGGCCGTACAGGGACCCATGACAGACTCTGGACCTGGCAGCAGCATGAGGAGGCGGTATATAGGGGCCTATGGCAGATTAGGGGCCTGGCAGCAGCTATGGGAGGCCCGTAATCTGCCAGCACCCTATGTCAAAAAATTCTACACACCAGCAGTGTGTGTGGAGACCTGAAAGTGGCACATGGCAGAGTGTGGCGATGGAGACAGCAGCAATGGGAGGCCGTACAGGGACCCATGACAGACTCTGGACCTGGCAGCAGCATGAGGAGGCGGTATATAGGGGGCCTATGGCAGATTAGGGGCCTGGCAGCAGCTATGGGAGGCCCGTAATCTGCCAGCACCCTATGTCAAAAAATTCTACACACACCAGCAGTGTGTGAGGAGACCTGAAAGTGGCACATGGCAGAGTGTGGCGATGGAGACAGCAGCAATGGGAGGGGAGGCGTACAGGGACCCATGACAGACTCTGGACCTGGCAGCAGCATGAGGAGGCGGTATATAGGGGCCTATGGCAGATTAGGGGCCTGGCAGCAGCTATGGGAGGCCCGTAATCTGCCAGCACCCTATGTCAAAAAATTCTACACACCAGCAGTGTGTGAGGAGACCTGAAAGTGGCACATGGCAGAGTGTGGCGATGGAGACAGCAGCAATGGGAGGCCGTACAGGGACCCATGAGAGACTCTGGACCTGGCAGCAGCATGAGGAGGCGGTATATATAGGGGCCCATGGCAGATTAGGGGCCTGGCAGCAGCTATGGGAGGCCCGTAATCTGCCAGCACCCTATGTCAAAAAATTCTACACACCAGCAGTGTGTGAGGAGACCTGAAAGTGGCACATGGCAGAGTGTGGCGATGGAGACAGCAGCAATGGGAGGCCGTACAGGGACCCATGACAGACTCTGGACCTGGCAGCAGCATGAGGAGGCGGTATAGGGGCCTATGGCAGATTAGGGGCCTGGCAGCAGCTATAGGGAGGCCCATAATCTGCCAGCACCCTATGTCAAAAAATTCTACACACCAGCAGTGTGTGAGGAGACCTGAAAGTGGCACATGGCAGAGTGTGGCGATGGAGACAGCAGCAATGGGAGGCCGTACAGGGACCCATGAGAGACTCTGGACCTGGCAGCAGCATGAGGAGGCGGTATATAGGGGCCCATGGCAGATTAGGGGCCTGGCAGCAGCTATGGGAGGCCCGTAATCTGCCAGCACCCTATGTCAAAAAATTCTACACACACCAGCAGTGTGTGTGAGGAGACCTGAAAGTGGCACATGGCAGAGTGTGGCGATGGAGACAGCAGCAATGGGAGGCCGTACAGGGACCCATGACAGACTCTGGACCTGGCAGCAGCATGAGGAGGCGGTATATAGGGGCCTATGGCAGATTAGGGGCCTGGCAGCAGCTATGGGAGGCCCGTAATCTGCCAGCACCCTATGTCAAAAAAAAAATTCTACACACCAGCAGTGTGTGAGGAGACCTGAAAGTGGCACATGCAGGCAGAGTGTGGCGATGGAGACAGCAGCAATGGGAGGCCGTACAGGGACCCATGAGAGACTCTGGACCTGGGCAGCAGCATGAGGAGGCGGGTATATAGGGGCCTATGGCAGATTAGGGGCCTGGCAGCAGCAGCTATGGGAGGCCCGTAATCTGCCAGCACCCTATGTCAAAAAATTCTACACACCAGCAGTGTGTGAGGAGACCTGAAAGTGGCACATGGCAGAGTGTGGCGATGGAGACAGCAGCAATGGGAGGCCGTACAGGGACCCATGACAGACTCTGGACCTGGCAGCAGCATGAGGAGGCGGTATATAGGGGCCCATGGCAGATTAGGGGCCTGGCAGCAGCTATGGGAGGCCCGTAATCTGCCAGCACCCTATGTCAAAAAATTCTACACACACAGCAGTGTGTGAGGAGACCTGAAAGTGGCACATGGCAGAGTGTGTGGCGATGGAGACAGCAGCAATGGGAGGCCGACAGGGACCCATGACAGACTCTGGACCTGGCAGCAGCAGCATGAGGAGGCGGTATATAGGGGGCCTATGGCAGATTAGGGGCCTGGCAGCAGCTATGGGAGGCCCGTAATCTGCCAGCACCCTATGTCAAAAAAAAATCTACACACAGCAGTGTGTGAGGAGACCTGAAAGTGGCACATGGCAGAGTGTGGCGATGGAGACAGCAGCAATGGGAGGCCGTACAGGGACCCATGACAGACTCTGGACCTGGCAGCAGCATGATGAGGAGGCGGTATATAGGGGCCTATGGCAGATTAGGGGCCTGGCAGCAGCTATGGGAGGCCCGTAATCTGCCAGCACCCTATGTCAAAAAATTCTACACACCAGCAGTGTGAGTGAGACCTGAAAGTGGCACATGGCAGAGTGTGGCGATGGAGACAGCAGCAATGGGAGGCCGTACAGGGACCCATGAGAGACTCTGGACCTGGCAGCAGCATGAGGAGGCGGTATATAGGGGCCTATGGCAGATTGGGCCTGGCAGCAGCTATGGGAGGCCCGTAATCTGCCAGCACCCTATGTCAAAAAATTCTACACACCAGCAGTGTGTGAGGAGACCTGAAAGTGGCACATGGCAGAGTGTGGCGATGGAGACAGCAGCAATGGGAGGCCGTACAGGGACCCATGAGAGACTCTGGACCTGGCAGCAGCATGAGGAGGCGGTATATAGGGGCCTATGGCAGATTAGGGGCCTGGCAGCAGCTATGGGAGGCCCATAATCTGCCAGCACCCTATGTCAAAAAATTCTACACACCAGCAGTGTGTGAGGAGACCTGAAAGTGGCACATGGCAGAGTGTGGCGATGGAGACAGCAGCAATGGGAGGCCGTACAGGGACCCATGAGAGACTCTGGACCTGGCAGCAGCATGAGGAGGCGGTATATAGGGGCCTATGGCAGATTAGGGGCCTGGCAGCAGCTATGGGGAGGCCCCGTAATCTGCCAGCACCCTATGTCAAAAATTCACACACACCAGCAGTGTGAGGAGACCTGAAAGTGGCACATGGCAGAGTGTGGCGATGGAGACAGCAGCAATGGGAGGCCGTACAGGGACCCATGAGAGACTCTGGACTGGCTGGCAGCAGCATGAGGAGGCGGGTATATAGGGGCCTATGGCAGATTAGGGGCCTGGCAGCAGCTATGGGAGGCCCGTAATCTGCCAGCACCCTATGTCAAAAAATTCTACACACCAGCAGTGTGTGAGAGACCTGAAAGTGGCACATGGCAGAGTGTGGCGATGGAGGACAGCAGCAATGGGAGGCCGTACAGGGACCCATGAGAGACTCTGGACCTGGCAGCAGCATGAGGAGGCGGGTATATAGGGGCCTATGGCAGATTAGGGGCCTGGCAGCAGCTATAGGAGGCCCGTAATCTGCCAGCAGCACCCTATGTCAAAAAATTTACACACCAGCAGTGTGTGAGGAGACCTGAAAGTGGCACATGGCAGAGTGTGGCGATGGAGACAGCAGCAATGGGAGGCCGTACAGGGACCCATGAGAGACTTGGGACCTGGCAGCAGCATGAGGAGGCGGTATATATAGGGGCCCATGGCAGATTAGGGGCCTGGCAGCAGCTATGGGAGGCCCGTAATCTGCCAGCACCCTATGTCAAAAAATTCTACACACCAGCAGTGTGTGAGGAGACCTGAAAGTGGCACATGGCAGAGTGTGGCGATGGAGACAGCAGCAATGGGAGGCCGTACAGGGACCCATGACAGACTCTGGACCTGGCAGCAGCATGAGGAGGCGGTATATAGGGGCCTATGGCAGATTAGGGGCCTGGCAGCAGCTATGGGAGGCCCGTAATCTGCCAGCACACCCTATGTCAAAAAATTCTACACACCAGCAGTGTGTGAGGAGACCTGAAAGTGGCACATGGCAGAGTGTGGCGATGGAGACAGCAGCAATGGGAGGCCGTACAGGGACCCATGAGAGACTCTGGACCTGGCAGCAGCATGAGGAGGCGGTATATATAGGGGGCCTATGGCAGATTAGGGGCCTGGCAGCAGCTATGGGAGGCCCGTAATCTGCCAGCACCCTATGTCAAAAAAAATTCTACACACCAGCAGTGTGTGGAGACCTGAAAGTGGCACATGGCAGAGTGTGGCGATGGAGACAGCAGCAATGGGAGGCCGTACAGGGACCCATGAGAGACTCTGGACCTGGCAGCAGCATGAGGGAGGCGGTATATAGGGGCCCATGGCAGATTAGGGGCCTGGCAGCAGCTATGGGAGGCCCGTAATCTGCCAGCACCCTATGTCAAAAAATTCTACACACCAGCAGTGTGTGAGGAGACCTGAAAGTGGCACATGGCAGAGTGTGGCGATGGAGACAGCAGCAATGGGAGGCCGTACAGGGACCCATGAGAGACTCTGGACCTGGCAGCAGCATGAGGAGGCGGTATATAGGGGCCCATGGCAGATTAGGGGCCTGGCAGCAGCTATGGGAGGCCCGTAATCTGCCAGCACCCTATGTCAAAAAATTCAACACACCAGCAGTGTGTGAGAGACCTGAAAGTGGCACATGGCAGAGTGTGGCGATGGAGACAGCAGCAATGGGAGGCCGTACAGGGACCCATGAGAGACTCTGGACCTGGCAGGCAGCATGATGAGGAGGCGGGTATATAGGGGCCCATGGCAGATTAGGGGCCTGGCAGCAGCTATGGGAGGCCCGTAATCTGCCAGCACCCTATGTCAAAAAATTCTACACACCAGCAGTGTGTGAGGAGACCTGAAAGTGGCACATGGCAGAGTGTGGCGATGGAGACAGCAGCAATGGGGGCCGTACAGGGACCCATGACAGACTCTGGACCTGGCAGCAGCATGAGGAGGCGGTATATAGGGGCCTATGGCAGATTAGGGGGGCCTGGCAGCAGCTATGGGAGGCCCGTAATCTGCCAGCACCCTATGTCAAAAAATTCTACACACCAGCAGTGTGTGAGGAGGAGACCTGAAAGTGGCACATGGCAGAGTGTGGCGATGGAGACAGCAGCAATGGGAGGCCGTACAGGGACCCATGAGAGACTCTGGACCTGGCAGCAGCATGAGGAGGCGGTATATATAGGGGCCTATGGCAGATTAGGGGCCTGGCAGCAGCTATGGGAGGCCCGTAATCTGCCAGCACCCTATGTCAAAAAAAAATTCTACACACCAGCAGTGTGTGAGGAGACCTGAAAGTGGCACATGGCAGAGTGTGGCGATGAGACAGCAGCAATGGGAGGCCGTACAGGGACCCATGAGAGACTCTGGACCTGGCAGCAGCATGAGGAGGCGGTATATAGGGGCCTATGGCAGATTAGGGGCCTGGCAGCAGCTATATGGGGGCCCGTAATCTGCCAGCACCCTATGTCAAAAAATTCTAACACACCAGCAGTGTGTGAGGAGACCTGAAAGTGGCACATGGCAGAGTGTGTGGCGATGGAGACAGCAGCAATGGGAGGCCGTACAGGGACCCATGAGAGACTCTGGACCTGGCAGCAGCATGAGGAGGCGGTATATAGGGGCCTATGGCAGATTAGGGGCCTGGCAGCAGCTATGGGAGGCCCGTAATCTGCCAGCACCCTATGTCAAAAAATTCTACACACCAGCAGTGTGTGAGGAGACCTGAAAGTGGCACATGGCAGAGTGTGGCGATGGAGACAGCAGCAATGGGAGGCCGTACAGGGACCCATGACAGACTCTGGACCTGGCAGCAGCATGAGGAGGCGGCGGTATATAGGGGCCTATGGCAGATTAGGGGCCTGGCAGCAGCTATGGGAGGCCCGTAATCTGCCAGCACCCTATGTCAAAAAATTCTACACACCAGCAGTGTGTGAGGAGAGACCTGAAAAGTGGCACATGGCAGAGTGTGGCGATGGAGACAGCAGCAATGGGAGGCCGTACAGGGACCCATGAGAGACTCTGGGACCTGGCAGCAGCATGAGGAGGCGGTATATAGGGGCCTATGGCAGATTAGGGGCCTGGCAGCAGCTATGGGAGGCCCGTAATCTGCCAGCACCCTATGTAAAAAATTCTACACACCAGCAGTGTGTGAGGAGACCTGAAAGTGGCACATGGCAGAGTGTGGCGATGGAGACAGCAGCAATGGGAGGCCGTACAGGGACCCATGAGAGACTCTGGACCTGGCAGCAGCATGAGGAGGCGGTATATAGGGGCCCATGGCAGATTAGGGGCCTGGCAGCAGCTATGGGAGGCCCGTAATCTGCCAGCACCCTATGTCAAAAAATTCTACACACCAGCAGTGTGTGAGGAGAGACCTGAAAGTGGCACATGGCAGAGTGTGGCGATGGAGACAGCAGCAATGGGAGGCCGTACAGGGACCCATGAGAGACTGGACTGGACCTGGCAGCAGCATGAGGAGGCGGTATATAGGGGCCTATGGCAGATTAGGGGCCTGGCAGCAGCTATGGGAGGCCCGTAATCTGCCAGCACCCTATGTCAAAAAATTCTACACACCAGCAGTGTGTGAGGAGACCTGAAAGTGGCACGGCAGAGTGTGGCGATGGAGACAGCAGCAATGGGAGGCCGTACAGGGGACCCATGAGAGACTCTGGACCTGGCAGCAGCATGAGGAGGCGGGTATATAGGGGCCTATGGCAGATTAGGGGCCTGGCAGCAGCTATGGGAGGCCCGTAATCTGCCAGCACCCTATGTCAAAAAATTCTACACACCAGCAGTGTGTGAGGAGGAGACCTGAAAGTGGCACATGGCAGAGTGTGGCGATGGAGACAGCAGCAATGGGAGGCCGTACAGGGACCCATGACAGACTCTGGACCTGGCAGCAGCATGAGGAGGCGGTATATAGGGGGGGCCTATGGCAGATTAGGGGCCTGGCAGCAGCTATGGGAGGCCCGTAATCTGCCAGCACCCTATGTCAAAAAATTCAACACACCAGCAGTGTGAGGAGACCTGAAAGTGGCACATGGCAGAGTGTGGCGATGGAGACAGCAGCAATGGGAGGCCGTACAGGGGGACCCATGAGAGACTCTGGACCTGGCAGCAGGCGGGCGGTATATAGGGGCCCATGGCAGATTAGGGGCCTGGCAGCAGCTATGGGAGGCCCGTAATCTGCCAGCACCCTATGTCAAAAAATTCTACACACCAGCAGTGTGTGAGGAGACCTGAAAGTGGCACATGGCAGAGTGTGGCGATGGAGACAGCAGCAATGGGAGGCCGTACAGGGACCCATGAGAGACTCTGGACCTGGCAGCAGCAGCAGAGGAGGAGGCGGGTATATAGGGGCCCATGGCAGATTAGGGGCCTGGCAGCAGCTATGGGAGGCCCGTAATCTGCCAGCACCCTATGTCAAAAAATTCTACACACCAGCAGTGTGTGAGGAGACTGAAAGAAAGTGGCACATGGCAGAGTGTGGCGATGGAGACAGCAGCAATGGGAGGCCGTACAGGGACCCATGACAGACTCTGGACCTGGCAGCAGCATGAGGAGGCGGTATATAGGGGCCTATGGCAGATTAGGGGCCTGGCAGCAGCTATGGGAGGCCCGTAATCTGCCAGCACCCTATGTCAAAAAATTCTACACACCAGCAGTGTGTGAGAGACCTGAAAGTGGCACATGGCAGAGTGTGGCGATGGAGACAGCAGCAATGGGAGGCCGTACAGGGACCCATGAGAGACTCTGGACCTGGCAGCAGCATGAGGAGGCGGTATATAGGGGCCTATGGCAGATTAGGGGCCTGGCAGCAGCTATGGGAGGCCCGTAATCTGCCAGCACCCTATGTCAAAAAATTCTACACACCAGCAGTGTGTGAGGAGACCTGAAAGTGGCACATGGCAGAGAGTGTGGCGATGGAGACAGCAGCAATGGGAGGCCGTACAGGGACCCATGAGAGACTCTGGACCTGGCAGCAGCATGAGGAGGCGGTATATAGGGGCCCATGGCAGATTAGGGGCCTGGCAGCAGCTATGGAGGCCCGTAATCTGCCAGCACCCTATGTCAAAAAATTCAACACACCAGCAGTGTGAGAGGAGACCTGAAAGTGGCACATGGCAGAGTGTGGCGATGGAGACAGCAGCAATGGGAGGCCGTACAGGGACCCATGAGAGACTCTGGACCTGGCAGCAGCATGAGGAGGCGGTAGGTATAGGGGCCCATGGCAGATTAGGGGCCTGGCAGCAGCTATGGGAGGCCCGTAATCTGCCAGCACCCTATGTCAAAAAATTCTACACACCAGCAGTGTGTGAGGAGACCTGAAAGTGGCACATGGCAGAGTGTGGCGATGGAGACAGCAGCAATGGGAGGCCGTACAGGGACCCATGAGAGACTCTGGACCTGGCAGCAGCATGAGGAGGCGGTATATAGGGGCCTATGGCAGATTAGGGGCCTGGCAGCAGCTATGGGAGGCCCGTAATCTGCCAGCACCCTATGTCAAAAAATTCTACACACCAGCAGTGTGTGAGGAGACCTCAAAGTGGCACATGTTTGAGGCATGATTCATGGCGGATTTAGTCAGTTGTGTCAGGAACTGGTGGTTTGAAATCCAGACTAATCCACGCCTGATTCATTTTCACAAAACGTGAGTCTCTCCACACTTTGGGTGGACAGTCGTGTCCTCCGCGGAGTTACAATACCTCCTGCCGCACTAAACACGCGCTCCGATGCCACGCTACTGGCCGGGCATGACAGCCTTTCAAGGGCAAATTCAGCTAGTTGGGGCCAAAGGTCAAGTTTCGTTGCCCAGTAGTCAAGGGGATTGTCTACCTCGGTTGGCAGGGTGCTGTCCAAGTAGGCCCAAGCCTGTTGTTTGAGGTCCTGCTCCAGGTCCACCTGATGCTGCTGCTGCTGCTGCTGGCTGGGTTAGTAGTTTCCTCACTGCGCTGGTGAAGAAAGCTACTCATCATCGACTGCAGACTGAGGCAGCCGCTGCTGGTGGAGCTGCCACTGCTCCTACCACCCCACCCCTCCCCTGCTGCCATGGCAGCGGAACGCGAGCGCGCGCACAGGGCCCACAGTGTCTGAGGATGGACGTTGGCGCACAAAGGCAGAGACCAACTGACTACATAGGTGGTTTTTATAGTACGTTATTTTGGCCTCCCTCTCAGCAGGTGTGAAAAAGGCCACCATTTTGGAACGGTAGCGAGGGTCCAACAAGGTGGACAGCCAAAAGTCATCCCTCTGTCTGATGGTTATTATTCGGCTGTCGCTACGCAAGCAACCGAGCATGCTATGGGCCATTTGTGCCAAGGAATGCGAGGGACTCCCTGCCTCCATCTCCACAGCATACTGCCACGGTGCGTCTGGGTCCTCTGTCTCCTCCTCCTCCTCCTCCTCTACCAGATGCTCCTGCTCCTCCACTCCTGTCCGCTGAGTGGAAAAAAACCACCCATTTCACTCAATAATTCCTGAGCACAAATGTCCTCCTCTACCTCCTCCTCTTCTTCCTGTCCTGCCCCCACAGGGGTCATGTGGCGTTGAGATCTGTGCGCCACGTCTACCGCACCCTGACCAGCCATTGTTAACAGCATTTGTTCAGGACGTGCAACAGAGGAATGACGTCGTTCATCCCATAGTCCTGCCGACTCACGAATAGCGTGGCCTCCTCAAAGGGCCTGAGCAAGCGGCAGGTGTCACGCATGAGCTGCCAATGGCTGACATCGAAGTTACACAGGGGAGTACCCTTTATCCGCTTGTAACATCAGGAAATCGGTGATGGCCTTTCGCTGTTCGTAAAGGCGGTCTAACATGTGTAGGGTTGAATTCCACCTTGTTGCAACGTCGCAGATCAGGCGATGCTGTGGAATTCCGTTCTGCCGCTGCAGCTCAAGGAGGGTGTGCTTTGCGGTGTAGGAATGGCTGAAATGCATGCAAAGTTTACGTGACATTTTAAGGATGTCTTGCAGTGGGATGGTGGATTTTAGGAACCGCTTGACAACCAGATTGAACACGTGAGCCATGCATGGCGCATGGCACAACCTTCCTTGACGCAGAGCAGACACCATGTTCTTTCCGTTGTCGGTCAACATGGTTCCGATTTTCAGTTTGCGCGGAGACAGCCATCTGTCGATTTCTCTGTTCATTACACTCAGAAGTT